AAGTCTTTCAGGTTTCGATGATGTCATATTGTGCATGTTTTTATTATTAACTATATAACATCTGTGTCATGTAGCTAATTCTTGTAATGTTTTCATAAATTTTTCACTTTTTGTATGGAGTTTTGTGCCAAACTTTTACTTTCAATCTGAAGTTTATTTTTAAAGCCTCTCAGATTTCGATGATTTGATATACCTGTTATAAAAAAGATTTAGTCAGCAAGAATGTGATCCGATAGGGAGAGGCTTCGCATATGTAGTGTTGTGTAGTATTGTATTTTTGTTGATTTTTTTCTGTAGTTAATTTCTCTCTTTCTTTCTGTCTGTTTTTTATGTTTCTGATTTTCTGTCTCTGTCTCTGTCTGTCTGTCTGTCTCTTTCTCTCTCCATCTATCTATCTATCTATCTATGTAGCTATTTCTCTCTTTCTCTCTAACTATCTCTCTTCCTCTCTTCCTATCTCTTTTCGGGAGTATGAGTGGTAACTAAATGAGTTATTTGTTAATTTACTGTAAGAACAGATGTACATATGGATGCATATATGTACTGTACATATTATGTGTTTGTTTGTTTGCTTGTATGTTTTTTGTTCCTTTTTGTGTGTGTGTCTCTCTCTGTGTGCGTGCAAACGTATGTGTATGTGTCTCTTTGTGATTGTAATGAGTGTATTGACATGAAGGGCTTTTGTACGCATTATAGCGCAAAGATATTCTCCTTCGCAGTTTTACTCTATCAGTCTAGAGTCGAGCACGTATCATTTTCATTTCTTTACACATATGCTCCCTCTCCTATAGCGAGGAAACCTACAAGGGATGTCAACTATATATAGGGGGAAATTTATTCTTCTTTTTCAGTCCTGTCTCTCTCTTGTCTTTTTTTTTAAACTGTCTACACGAGAAAATTTATTTCCAATTACTTTTTACTCTCTTTTTTCCCTCCCTTTACCACTAGAACCGCCACCTGTCCCCTCCGCACCCGCCATTATAGTCGGGGTCCCTCGGGGTTTCCCTTCTCTACCCAGCCAATATGGCGGATTTCTAGGGCACCGACAACGCCATCTTTGAGACAATTACTGAACTAATTTTTCTCCCTGTCTATAAAATATATTGTCATTACAGGCATTTACAAAAGGAAAAAAAACAAAAACTAAGATAAAAAGGCATATAATACAAGCCGTTTTCGATCACCATATGTGAAACTAGACATAAAAAAACACAAACATACGTTAGAAATGAAAATAAAAAACCCGCCTCCAATGAAATTCACATTAAGAGCTCCCTTTGGCTGGTCGTTGAGTCAGCTACAAAATTAGCTAAATTTCGGAGGAAAAAAAGGTATCAAACAGTAATTGGATTTTGAATGAGATACGACAGAGGGAAGGTGGATTAGGGAGGGGTAGAGTAGAGGGGTAATTTGGAAAATGAAGAAAAGGGAGGAAAGGATAGAGAGAGAGGGAGAGCGAGACAGACAGAGAGAGAGAGAGAGAGAGAGAGAGAGAGAGAGAGAGAGAGAGAGAGAGAGAGAGAGAGAGAGAGAGAGAGAGAGAGAGAGAGAGAGAGAGAGAGAGAGAGAGAGAGAGAGAGAGAGAGAGGAGAGAGAGAGAGAGAGAGAGAGAGAGAGAGAGAGAGAGAGAGAGAGAGAGAGAGAGAGAGAGAGAGAGAGAGAGAGGGAGAGAGAGAGAATTATAAGAGACAGACAGATAGACAGAAAAAAACAAATGCTAAAAAAGAAATGAAAAAAGAAAAAAAAAGCAAAGAAGACGGCAAACAAATAAATTTAGAAAATATAACGTACCCCAAAGAGTAAGAAGAGGAAGAGGAAGCAACAGAAGAAAAGCGGAAATATATTGTTGGTCGTTTGAAGCGGCATTTGTATCTTTCCTTGTGTGTCTTCTTGGTTTTTGCTTTCTCTTTGTCTTTTTCTCTCTTTCTCTCTCTGTGTCTTTTTCTCTCATTCTCTCTCTCTGTGTCTCTGTCTGTCTGCCTGTCTCTCTCTCTCTCTCTCTCTCTCTCTCTCTCTCTCTCTCTCTCTCTCTCTCTCTCTCTCTCTCTCTCTCTCTCTCTCTCTCTCTCTATATATATATATATATATATATATATATATATATATATATATATATATTATATATTTATATATATGCATGTATGTATGTATGTATATAACACACACACACATATACGTATATGTGTATACATATTCTCTCTCAACCTTTCTCTCTGCCCCCCCCCTCTCTCTCTCTCACTCTCACTCTCACTCTCTCTTTCTCTCTCTCTCTCTCTCTCTCTCTCTCTCTCTCTCTCTCTCTCTCTCTCTCTCTCTCTCTCTCTCTCAATCTCACTCTCTCTCTCAATCTCACTCTCTCTCTCACTCTCTCTCTCTCTGTTTATCTTATTTTTTTCGGTACATCTTTAACACATTTTGTCCTTCGTATTCAACAGATAAATAAATAAATAAACAAAACAAATAAGTATGTAAATAACGACTGGCTTCTCGACGATCAAGACTTTCAATAAAAGAAATAGTTAAGGAACTAATTAAAATGATAAGCATACTTTGGAGTCTTTTATTTACTCCTTAAATTAAATTGAAGTAGATGAACCCAGGATAAAGTGACATTTAAACAAGTGAATGTTTGGCTAAGATGAAATTGATTAAGATTTGAAGCACGTGTCTCATGGGCCAATTCCACAGTGCAATACATGAGTGCCACTTTTAACCCTTCAGTGCCAGATAGCAATCAGAGTTGCAATATGAATAATCTGGGTAATTATAGTGATAAAAGTGGTATACGAGTTATAGTAGTAATATTATAGGGGCGTAGGTAATGTAACAGGATGAGAAGTAGTGACGCTACTGTCATAGAGGTTACATGACAGTAACGGAGGTAGGCATGTAGTAGCATAAGTAACGCTACAGTAACAGAAGTAACACGATAGTATAAGAAATATCACTATAGGGGCATAAGAAACACTGTAGTATGAGAAGTAACAGAAGTAACAGAAGTAACACTGTAGGAGCATAAGTAACACTGTAGTATAAAAAGTAACACTGTAGGAGCATAAGTAACACTGTAGTATAAAAAGTAACACTGTAGGAGCATAACTAACACTACAGCAGTAGAAATAACACTGTAAGAGCATAAGAAACATTACAGTAACGGAAGTAACAGTGTAGGAGCATATAGAAACACTGTAGTAAAAGAAATAACTGTAGGAGCATAAGAAACACTACAGCAGCAGAAATAACACCGGAGGAGCATAAATAACACCACAGAAACGGAACAACTAAAATCACAGTGGCAGCAAATAACAATACAGGAGCAACAAATACAGAAATAATACTTCTGCACGACTCCATCAGAGAGAACAGAAAGAGAGTCAGAGCGCACACACCTCGCCACTCTACAGCTATGTCCAGTGTGTCTGACATTACCTTCCGATGAACAATGGATCCCCGGGAACACTACGCGAGAGTTAGAAAGCTGTGGGTGACATAGGGTGATGATTAAAGCTTCACAGGATACATGGCAGAGAAATCCTTTGCCTTACTGTTGACGTCACGGAGCTCGGCAACATGTTTTTTTATTTGTTTTTTTTATCTTTTTTGGGGGGGGGGATTATTGTTTTCTTATTTTTGTTATTTATTTCTTGGTTTTGTAGGTGGATGTGGCATGTGAGAAAGCTGGATTCTTTTTCTTTATTTTTCTATTTTTCTTAATTATTTCTTTTTTTTTTTGTTCGTCGTAAGGCATGAAGAATTAGGTTTATGACGCAATTGATGCTGATTTGTTGGTGGGTGTTTAAGGCGAGTAATATGATATAAGACGAGAGAAGACGAAGAAAAAAAAAAAAACAGAGATAGATAGATAGATAAATTTAATGATTTAAGTAAGGCCACAGCATTTGTTTTTTGAATAGTGGGCCTGCTGACATTTATTTTCAGGAAAAATAAAAAAAATGAAAATCCCGATTTTTTTCTTTTTTCTTTCATTTCCCGCCGATATTGTGACGTCCGCGAAAGAAATAGCATAAAATTAAACACAAATCAATTTGTTATAAATCACTGTGTATGGTACCATTTCTCCCGTCTCCAACACAACACTGAAATATATTTGGCGGACATATCTTACTCTCGTGTGTCATGTCATGTCAATTGTCTATCGTGTCCGTGGTCGTTGGTCGCTTCTGATCAGTGCTGGCGTATTTCGCAATATGCGCAGAGAACATGCACACTAGGATGTAAATACTCACATTCAAACATCAGAACAAAAAATGGCCATGGCGAGTGATGTGCAAAATCGCAAAGGACATATATATGCCAATTTTTTTTTTTTTTAAGGAATATTTTTGATTCTGATTTCCAAAATAATAAGTTCTGGTTGAAAGAATTCTTTGTCTGTTTTCATTTAACTCCTCGAAGACTTCTAGTAAGACAGAATTGTACTTCCTCCAGGTGGGGCTGGAAGTGAGACATTCCTTTACTTCTGATCTTGGGAAGGGAGGAGGTACACTTGTCTTATTTTGATGCTGGGGATTTTTTTTTGATGTAGGGAATGCTGATATGATGAAGGATTTTTGTAAGTGTTTATGGTGTAAATAAAGGGTTTCAAGGATTAGATTGAGAGTTCGTCAACATGGATGATGGGGGTTTAATTTTTATGCCGTATACCTGGTAAAAAGAATAATAATGAGATAATAATGAACAGTGGGAGCGGTACCTTCATCACACAATGAAGGCAGAATGCTATGACACTTGCAGGCATTAGCTTGGGGTCATTTAATGTAAACGGGTGCTTTGCAAACACACACAACACACACACACACACACATATATATATTATATATATATATATATATATATTTGTCACTTATCTCAAAGTTTGATATTCTACTGTGGTATATGTTACGTCTATTAGGCAAACAATGCTGGTGAAATACTGTAATCTTTATATGCATTATGATATGTGTCTTAATATGTAGTCTGTACTTTGATGTACATATAATATTTGATCATCAAGTGAAACTTAGTAATGGACATTGAGTCTCGACAGTGTTGTGTTGTTGTGCAAGTTACGGGGAGATGCCAGCTTATGTCGGTGCTAATGTAAGTATCAAAAAACTCTTTATGTAGCTGAGGCCAGTGAGCGTGCAAAGAGACAAAATATGATTTATTTCAATAAGTTTGTAGGTGTTTCATATCCCTGTATGGGTTGTAAATGCACAGGATTTGTTTCTCTTATTAACAGTATCAAATTGATGCTTGGTATTACAAAATATGGTATCTTACCCAAATACTGTATTGCAGTGTAGTAACGAATACAAATCATTACTGTTTTATAGTCTATAACAGAGGTTTTAATGTAACTGCGGAAAATACACGTGACTTAATGAAATGATGGTAACCGTGAGTAACAGCTTTACAGTCTGTAAATCGGCTTTCGCACCATGGTGGCCCCTTGTCCGTGGCATGTGGCAAGTGGCAAATGACACGTGGCACGGTGATTTCAGACCAAGGTTATAAATAGCGCATCACTCGGTTCACAAGATGGCATCATCGGGGGTTGGTAATGTCATTGTTTTCCGAAGTCCCAAGTAATCTTGTGATAATTATCTATCTATCACTTATAGAAACAACGTGGATGACTTTGGGGGGAGAGATACACTGGCTCACTTATATTACAAAAAGCAATAATCAGAACTTCAACTGTCTTTGAGAAGCTAGTCAGCTGACTATTCAAGATAAAGTCCGTTTGATTTAACTAACTACCGACCACAGGGCCGTCGCGAAGCCTCTCTCGGCAAATGTAGTAAAAAACAATATTTGTCGCCAAATTTCCAGAAATTTCGAAGCCATATATCTTTTGCAGATCGATGAATACGGAAAGCAAGCAACGATTAATGAGTAAAAACGATTATTAAGATACGACTGATTTTTAATAACCACACCCAATAACCACGCCCATTTGTCGATCACAGAGGGAAG